CCAATTCCTAACATATTGAGATAAGTTTCTTGACAAAGAAGTGTATTGTGATCCCAATGATAGAAAGTTCTTTTATTGGATCTGGTTTTCTTTTTAAGGCATCTGCTAGTGCTTGTTAATCCCCCATCTATGCCTTAAGTTGGGCCATTAAAAATATGTCTTGTTCTGGTTTAGTAAGAGCTTGAAAGGATTCTCTTAATTCTGAAAATTGTTCTTTGGGAATTCTTGAAGAACAACCACAATTACATCCTTTTTCTAAAAAATCAATTGCCTTTTGATATTCATTAGGACCATTATGATTATTATTTACATTATTACTTTTCATATACACTTATCCCTATATATATAATTTTATGTTCACTTTGTAGGTTTTTTATAACAAAGCGAATATTTAAAAAAAGAGAAATTGAAAATTTTGGAAATTTGGTCTATATTTAATTGTTCTATCATCAGCAATCAATATAAGAAAAAGCACAGTAATTTATTTCATTAAATAATGACAAGCAAAAAATAAAATATTTCCATATTTACATACTATTATTGTTTGCATTTATTTTTTGTCAGTGAACCATTTGTGGATTGTTATTCTATTGCGTTGCAAAACTATAAAAAATCAACTCTATGTGAATTATGTAATGGGAAAAGCCAATAAAGAAAAAATGAAAAAAAGAAAAGTGAAAAAATATTGATGTTAGTAATAGTGTTACAAGAATAATGAAATCAAGTGATTTGTTATATACTGTATAATGATTTTATTTTATTTATTATTGTTATAAGTATATAAGCAATTGAAATTTTATGTACAAAAAATAATGATAATAATTTTGTAAGTAATTTTTGTAAGAAAATTCTTGGGAAATAAAAATCAGTTTCAACTGTATTCAAATTACAAACCAAAGCCATTCGCTGACATATTCCCTATTCATTCTGATTTATATTTTAAATCTATTTTGTTTGCCATTAACTATAAATGCTCTCCTGACTCAAATAGTTAGCAACAATA